ACTTTTGCTAGGAGTGGGCTCTTTTAAATATTTATATTGTTTTCATGATGAATTTATGAAGGAAATATGCTTGTTTTATTTGATGATAATTATAAGTTTATAAAGTTTTTATTTTATTTTTAAAATTTTTATGTCAATTGTTTATTTGTCTTTATCATAACCAGATGTAATTGTTCTTAAAACTGTGTAGGGTGCATGTGTGGCATTGTGAAATATATATCCAACCGTAAGCTCGGGCGTGGATATCACCATTAGAAAATATGTTTGTAAGAAATTGATTCAACATGCTTTATTTTAGAGGAATATCTAAATAACAAGTATAGTTAAAAGTGCAATATGTGTATTATGTGTTAGGGGAACACAGTCTTGCACTCTTGCATGGTTAAGACACGAATTGCAGTGCAGGATGAATTCAAAACATAAATTGCAGTGCAGGTATAGAGTGAGGTTAATGGACGAAAGAGGAGGATCATTTGTGGCCGTGAGAAGAATATCACAAGGCCTAGATGGAATTTGCAGGTGCCAGAATTTTTATTTTTTATTTTTTATTTTTATTTTTTTTACAAGTATGTTATGTGCGTATGGGGTAGGAGGTTAATGCATTATAGTATTTGTAATGTACTGGAAATATTGTTTGGGTATTTGTTGGTATTACTGTGTATATCTTCTTCTTTTTTCCCAATTTCGCTATGTGCATAGGGGGTTAGAGGTGAATGCAGTATAGTATACCCTTGTTGTAGCTTTATTTACTATGGGTTTGTGCGTACATAGTCTGTGATTAGTGTATTTTTTTTGTGGGGGGTAGGGGGTTGGTGGTCATGCTAATGGTGTTGTAACTTGTCTGTGTGTTTTGTTTCGTATTGAGATTTTTTTATTATGCTGAGGTTAGATTTTTGCCGGTAAAATAGTTCAAGTTGTTTTTTCAAGTATGCTATGTGCGTAGGGATTAGGTGATGAATGCATTACAGTGTAAACATGGTGTAGCTTTAATTAGTATGGGTTTGTGCGTGTTAGTCATATATTATTTATTATTCCTATTATATGTTTAGTCAATATTGTAATAGGTGAATAAGTCTTTAGTCATCCCTCTTAAATAGGAGTCTCTTGTGCTGGTTGTTATTTCCCTTTATATTGTTCTCCTGTTCTTTTGCTGAATATTATTATCAAAACCTTTATCTAATCGTGCGTAATGGGGTTCAGTTTGTGTTTGTTTCGTAATGGGTTTTTTTTTTTTTTTTTTTTTTTTTTTTTTTGCAATGAGGTTGGATTCTTGCTGGTAATGTAGCTTGCTGTTTTTTTTTTTTTTTTATAATTTTTTTACAAGTATGCTATGTGCGTATGGGGTAGGAGGTTAATGCATTATAGTATAAACAGGGGGATGTAAAGGGGTGGATGCATTGTAATATGAACACAATTTTTTAATGTTGCAGACTGTGGCTGCGATATATGCTGAGAAGTCTGATGCGTTAGCTGGAGCTTTGGAGGACATGGCCCACTTTATGGAGCTCCATGATGACCTCCTGGGCCTGACTTTGGAGTATGATGCGTTAGCTGGGGTTTTTGACTTTGGTTTCCCTTTCCAAGTAGTTGGTGTTAGTTTTTGAATTTCGACCTTAACATTTTCGTAATAAAGATGTGTCCTCCAGTTCCACTTAATATTATCATGTGTTTGAAAATCCCAGCACCTACGCACATGCGTACGCTACTATCATGCACACGCCTTTTTTTTTTTTTTTGCACAGGCCTATTTCTTCATATGCACAGGCCTATTTCTTCATATGCTTTTGTTTTTTGTACAAGCGATATGCACAGGCTATTTCTTCATATGCTTTTGTTTTTTGTATTTGGTGTGTGCATTGGAGTGTTATGACGTGTACAATAGACCACATGATGCAAAGTTCCATTGCCAAAAAGTTGCACATGCCATACCATAAAAATGCACACACCAGTGTAAATAACAAAACTAAAAAAACGACACGGACCACATGATGCAAAGTTCCATTGCCAAAAATGCACAAAGTTCTAAAGCAAATGTCTGTATCTAGAACTAAATTAATTTACACACGGATCCAGTTCTCAATCAATTTTTAGGTCATCTAATTTTAATTAAACCTTCTTGCTCAAGAATCACTTGGTTCACGCACCAACCAAACAACACACACGCATCAACCTAACAACAGAAACACAAATAAACTAAATGAGAAAGACAGGAAAATATAAATAATATTGTCAATTAGCAACTAAACCACACCCTATCTTGCACACGGTAAGACACTGCTACCCACAAACAACCACACCAAACAAGGCAACCCCCAAAAAACGCATCAACACGAAAACAGTGGTGCCCCGGCCTAAAAAAAGAGAAAAAAATAGTTTGTTCACCAACTGAACACGCACACGCTACGCACATAACAGATATTCTAGTTCGTCCACCAAACCCCACCCCCCTCCCACCATCCCAGCGGAAAAAACCCCAATATTCAGCATATGCACAGACGAT